ATGGCCTTCCGTAAACGCTTCATAGGGTGACCTCCCTGTACTTGAATGATGATTGTTGTTATACGAGAACTCGACCAACGATAGATGTTTCTCCCAATTCCCAGCCCAATCTATAATACACATCCGAAGCATGTCCTCGATGGTCCGGACGGTTCTCTCCGTTTGGCCATCATTTTTTGGCTGGAATTTTGTGCTTCTAAACAATTTAGTTCCCAAAGCTTCTTGTAACGCTTCCCAAAATGATGTCGTGAACCGACACCAAAACCACGCCTTGCACCACCAACGCCGATATCGCGCTTTGCCTCCTCCATAGTCAAGCCTCTTGGGCATCCTCCAACTTACTTTACCAAAAACAAATCAAAATCAGATGTTGTTAGAAAAAAAACAGATTCAAAGGAGAGCAAGAGATAGAGAGAGAGACGTGACTCTGTCACATCGCCTTCAGATCTGTTCTCTCCGGTTCTGTTCACTCCATCTCAAAAAAATCTGACTAAGTGAAGAGACAAAAAGAGATACCTTGTTCTTGTGAGTTTCAGATCTGTATCAACGGCTGCGACGAAGTGACGAGGCCAGAGACGCAGCAGCGAAGCAACGAGGCCAGAGACGCAGCAGCGAAGCAACGAGGCCAGAGACGCAGCAGCGAAGCAACGAGGCCGTAGACGCAGTGAAGCGAAGCGACAAATTCGGAGACGCAATGGCGGATGAGCCATCTGAATATGGAGTAGATCAAAACTGTCGTTCTCCATTGTTGTTGTTTTCTTCCAGCCAAGCTTCATGTTCATGGAGTGATAAAAAGAAGTAAACATGCGTTGAGAAAATGATAAAGAAACTGAGAGACTGGAAACGATGAGAGTCTGTGGATAGATAGAGAGATTAGCATGAGAAGAGGAGAGAAAAAAATATATAAAGAAGAGATTGAGTCCGTCCGATTAAAGCGTAATCCTGTGGACAAAAATGATTATGGCTAATGGAATCATTTGTTTTTCTTTTATTTCTCTGTATCGGATTATGTTTTGTTTTTAGTGAACTCTTATAGAAGTTTAATTAATAGTTTTCATGTGATGATTTTATTGTTAAAATTAGTTTAGTTTTTTTTTTTTGAACAACTTAAATTAGTTTAGTTTACAAGATAAATTTTATACTTTATTGTATGAAATTTAGGGAATATGGTTTATAGGATATATGTTTGATGTTTTGTTATAAGTTTAATTTTGAAGATGTCAATTTTAAATATAAAAATATTAAAGTTGTAAGGTTTGTATGAAAATTTGAAGTTAAATAATAAAATATTAAAGTTGTAAGATTTTAATGAGAGTTTAGGATATATAATTAATTTTGAGTATGACATATATAAGTCTATAGTCTAGGAGTTGAGTTTTAGATTTAATACTTGAAAGTTAATTTTTAATATATCAACCTTTGAATTTAAAACTAAAATATGAGATTAAATTTAAGATTTGAAGTTGATTAATAAAAAGTATTAGTTTTTTAATTAGACTTTGGATATATGATTAACTTAGGAATAGTTTTTAAGTTTGGAGTTTAGAATAAAGGTTTGAGTATAGGGTTTGAGGGCTACATGTTTAGGGGGGAATTGATTTAAGATTTGAAATTAATTTTTGAAAAAATTAAATTTCGATTTTCTATTTAAGATTTAAAGTTAAATTAAAGATTCAATGTTAAAATTTTAGAGTGTGAAATTTTATTTAGAGTTTAGGGATTTGTTTATAGTTTAGGGTTTTAGGGTTTATGATTCAGGATTTGTGGAGGCAATTAAAATGGATGGAAAGGGAAAGTGAAACAAGGATGAGAGGAAAAATGAATTGTTTTTCCCGTTTTAGTTATGCATAGAGTTTTGAAATTTAAAGTGCTATGTATACTACGGTTCGAAAAAGCGTTTGCATAATTAAATTCGGACTAACCATATATAGCGTTTGCATTTTCACAAACACTATGTAAAAGTAAGAGGTATGTCAAACATATCACAATTGAAAAAGTGCTATACTGTTTTGTTATCAATACACAGATTTCTTGTAGTGACATCTCCATATTTAGTAGTTCCTGGAGAATATGATGTTCTCGGGAACGTATAAAACTCTGGAAGAGTTAGAACAAGCGTATATAAGGTAACTTGAACCGGTAACTGGTGATATATTTACAGCACGGTTTGCGAATTGCAATTTTAATGAGGATGAATTTCGAGCATTGGGAGGAGGAATTTGAAAAAATCTTAAAGAGATTACATGGTGTACACTGTTGCTATTACACCTTGATCCCCCTGTAAGGCAAAGAGAGTTAGAAGTTCAAAAAATTGTGAATTTGCATAATTTGACAAACCAGTTATCATATGTGTTCACAAATACGATAAAGGTGACTAAATCATATATACCCGCTGAAACATTCCATGAAGATTTGATGTTCCTATAGAACAAACTGATGGAGATACAATGAATGAACCTAAGGTTCAGTTAAAGAGGGGTATACCAGTGGGTTATAAAGATAAAAAAAAAATCCGCGATAGAAAAAGAAATTGGTTAAGCAAAAAGGAAAGGTTCCAAAAGAACCTGATACTGAAAAATGTTTGAAAAAGGCACAAAGAATCTGATCCTAAAGAATATTTGAAAGAATGCATAACTTAAAAAGTTCAAGAAGAACCAAATAAAGATAAGGATCCATATGATGAGAAAAGAACAGAAAAGTATGAGATTCCATCAACTACACCCAAGATGAAAATTTATGGATTAAAAATAAGATAAAAGATGTTGATGGAATATTTTCTTTTTGTGTCCAAAGAAATAGATCATGAAAGTGATGATCCTGATCCAAGGTCTATTTTAAAATGTATGAAAAGACATGATTGGGAGGAGTAGAAGAAAACCATTCAAATAGAATCACTCTCCGCAAATAAAAGGAATGTCTTTAGACCTATATTCATAACGTCTGAGAATGTAAATCATGTTGGATATAATTGGGTATTTGTGAAAAAAAAAGAAAATGAGAAAATTGAAGTAACACGATATAAATATTGATTAATTGCCCAAGGTTTTTCTCAGAGACCAGAAATTGATTCTGAGGAAACGTATTCTCCGGTAATGGATGCAATTACGTTTAGATTTTTGATGAGCCTAGCTACATCGAAAAATCTTGAAATGCATCTTATGAACATTCTGACAACATATTTGTATGGATCATTGGATAATGATATATACATGCAACTTCCTCAAGAATTGAAAATGCCAAAAGCATTTAAAGAAAAATCCAGGGAGATTTTTTTGATCAAGTTACAGTGATCACTATACAGAGTAAAGCAATCTGGATGATATGTGGTACAATCGATTAAATGAATATCTCTTGAGAAAAGGATATATAAGTAATGCAATATGTCCATGCATTTTATTAAGAAATCGTCATCTGGTGATCATTGATGTATATGTAGATGACCCATTATTGGAACTCAAAAGGAGGCTCATATGAAAGAAGAGATTGAAATAAAAGATCTCGGAAAGACAAAATTTTGTCTTGGGCTCCGGATAGAGCATTTCTGAAAAGAAATATTTGTGCATCAATAAAATTATATCAAAAAGGTTATAACAACGCTTTTATATGGATAAAGCGACTCCTTTGAGTACTCCAATGGTTAATAGATCTCTCGATGTTGAAAGAGATCCTTTTAGTCCTTGTGAAGACAGCGAAAATATATTTAGGTCCTGAAGTATCTTATATGAGTGCTATCGGTGGGCTGTTATATCTTGCGAACTGTACCAGACCTGATATTGTCTTTTCTACTAACCTACTTCCAAGATATAGTTGTGCTCATACTCGCAGGCATTAGAACGAAATAACGCACATATTTCGTTACCTTCAAAGTACAGTTGTTTTAGAGTTAATGTATTTTAGAAACCCAAGTTTGGTATGGTTGGTTTTGTAGTTGCATGATACTTATCAGATCCTCATAAGGCTCAATCGCAAACTGGCTATGTTTTTACAATTAGTGTTCCAGAAACAAACTATGGTTGCAACTTCTTCAAGTCATGCAGAAGCTATTGCAATTCACGAAGCATGTCGAGAATGTATGTGGTCTAGATCAACTAGTCACCACATACAAGAAGCAGGTGGAATAGTTATTAAAAGAGAGCCAACAAATTTTTTTGAAGAAACTCGGCGTGTGTCGTTCAACTAAAAAAAGGCTATATCAAGAGCGACAAAAACAAAGCACATTCTTCAAAGATTTTTTCTCGTACATACAGAAGCTGGAGAAAAATAAAGAAGTGGACTTAGAGTATGTACAACCATCCGATAATTCTGTCAATTTGTTCACAAAGGATCTTTCCACTACAACATTCCAAAAATACGTTTACGGTGTCAGAATGCAGCATTTGTGAGACTTATGAAAAAAAACTATGTTCATTATTTATAGGGGATATTACGTTATTCTGTTCTTTTTCTCCTTATTATAATTTTTATCCCAAAATTTTTTTTCTATAACTATATTTTTAACAAATCGGTACGTAATATAAGATGAATAATCCTGAGAATTTTAGGAAATATAGAGATGATATTCATCTTAGACAGTTATCTTTCTCATAGTAAATATGGATGGTAATGCTTATCCTACAGTTTTGTCCATTTGTCTTAATTAATCGATTCATATAAATCAACTTTTCTACTCTATATAAAGCTTGTTGTAAGACAAGAAATTGAAATAAGACGAAATACTTTCAATTTTCATTTCTCTCCTCCCCATACTACTTATGTCTCTTTATACACACAAATAAAACAAACATAAACCTTTTTACCAAAAAAAAAAACAAACATAAACTCAACCACATCATTCGCATACACAACTTGTATTATAATTTTAATAGATTAGATGTGTTTGAATATTGGGCCAGACTAAAAAGAATGGGTTCCCAGTTTAACAATTTAATAGCCCATTAGATGTTTCAGAAGCTAACGACTAAACCTCCGCACTAATCCCCAAACTCGACACAATCACAGACTGTTTTAGTTACATATCTGTCGAGGAACTAAAAAGAAAGCAAAGAAGAGATCGAGCAGCAAAGAAAAATGCTCGACCTCTTCGGAACCTACAGGAATCTCATCCTCCAAACCCTACTATCTCTCTCCTTAACCCTAATCCTCTCCTTCCTCAAGATCCCAGTCATCTTCCTCCACGGCCTCTGCACCTACATCCAACCCGAGAATCTCGGCCAAAACGGAGTCAGAGCCGCGATCCGACGACCCTCGAACAGCGAAGATCCAAAACCCAACAATGAACTTCGCAGAAGAAACAGATCGAAAGACAAATCCGAATTCGACGAAAGCAACGCCCAGATCTTCCGAATCAAGCTCGACGAAGACCACCTCAGATCCCGCATGTACTTCACCGAGTACAATTCCCTCTTCCTCGTATCCTTCCTATCTCTCTCCTCCTTCCTTGCCCAAAAGTACTTCTCCGTTGACGACGACAAGGGCCTTTTGTTCCCGCTCGTTCTCGGATTCATCGCGCTGTGCAAAGTCTTCGTTGCGTTGGCTAAGATCTCGATCGAGAGGTCCGCGTCGAAGAGATCCGAGAAGAAACTTAGCTTGATTTTCGCGGGTTTAGGGTTTGTTTTCGGGATTATAATCGCTGCTGGTGTGTTCCCTAGAGGGTTTGACTTTCTATTAGGCTCCGTTGATGCGTTTTGCTGTATACTCATCTCCTTCTCCATGGCTTGCATCGCTGGCTTCCTCTACATGCCTGCCGGGAGAAGCGCGAGGTCCTTTTGGGTTGGGACTGATCAGATTAGGAGTAATCTGTCCATCATATCTTGTGGATGGTTCGGTAGAATGATTCTTTATGTCAACTACATTGTATCGCTCTTCACTTCGTTGCTTTGGATCCATCCTTTAGCTGAGATTCTAGTCAAGAGAAGCGGTAATGCTAGTGGGTTGGTTGGTAATGTTGGTTTCTCGACTAGTGATTTTGGCAAGTTTCGTGTTCTGTGTTTGTTGCTGTCGGGTTTATTACAAGCTATGGCGGTTCGGCCTAACCTTCAGATGTTTTTGAACGAAGCCGTGTTGTCGTGGTATCAGAGATTACATGGGAGTAAGACTCCTGATTTGGAGTTTAGCAGGGCGAAGATGTTTCTTCATAACCACTACCTGTGTCTCGTTGCTTTGCAGTTTTTGGCTCCCTCGGTTCTTGTGATCATCTTCCTCGGTTTGTCCCAGATTGATCTAGGGTCATTTGCTGTTTCTCGACTCGTATGTGGTTCTTTGCCTTGCAGCGACTTCGTGGGACAAGTGGGGTTGTTGATGTCTTGGTGGGTTCTTTTTGTTTGGTCCGCTTTTGCTTCTGCAAGTCTTGTTTTCTATCGACGTGGTGTCTTATATGTTTCTTGAGATGGGAGTCTGATTCTTTTTTATGTATCAGAGGAAAGTGCCATAAACAAAACAAAGAAACAGTTTTGCAAGACTTTGGCTCATTTGTTTGTTTGTTTGTTTGTTTGTTTGTTCTACTTACTACTTGTCCCAAAAGTTCACTGAATTTCTAACTGTCTTATACTCTCTCGCAGAGTGTTTCAGGAAAGAGAAACAAGAATAGGTCTCTAGAAATTTAGCTAAGCAGGTATACTAAGAGCGGCTTTGATCTTGTGAATGGTGCAAGCGATGAGGTTGTTAACAGTTTGAACAGATTCCATGTTGAGCTTTGTCGTCGGTACGCTGTTCACTAAGATCTGAAACCCTACTGTCAGGAGACATCCCTTGCTTCCAACATTCACAAAACCTCTATTGGTATCGATCTGATCAGACCATGATGATGATCCATCAGGCGATACAGAGAACCCCGATGGAAGAAGCGCAACGTTAGCTGAATCTCCACCGCTCATTACCATATTCATAGATGGGATATCGACAGGTGCGTAAACCACAAGCGCCCCAGAAGCATCACTCCATGTCTCTTGCAGGATAAGCATACTGCCCTGATTTTGATGCTTCCCCTGCAAAATGGATTTGGTCTAATTAGTAATCAAGTTCCTAATGTAGTGAAGATTTGCACTAGGTTATAGAGACTCACAGCAGGTTGAAGAAGAGAGACGCATCTTTTTGGGATGAGAAGCATGTTTTCCATTGAAGCACCATTACACAAAATATCCCACTGGTTTCTGCATTTACTATCACAAAGAAACTCAAACAGTCTCTGCTGAGTCACCGGTAGCCACATAGACTTTGCCGCGCTCAAGACCACACCAGACGGCTCAAGGCTCTTCCTGGTCAGTATCCTTGTGTCCTGTCCTACATTCTCAGCGAGAAGCTTCTCCCATTTGTGAATGGGTGATGCAGTTATGCCTGAATAGAAGTTGAGCTTCATACGCTGTGCCAGTGCTAGTGTGCTCTTGGTGCCAGCAACTGACAAACCTATCAGAAAACAGTCCTTTCCTTCATTAAAGTCTCAAAACTTTTCAAGATTCAAAAGCATAGAAAGACAAAGACCTGTTTGATCTTGAGAAGACAAAAGGGTCGTGTAGCTTTCACACCGTCTCTGCAGAGTTGCAAGCCACTTGGTTGCACCTAACCCAACTGAAGAACCCAGCAACTGTTGGTAAAGTGGATGGACCTGACTCCCTTCATACTCTGAATGTTCTATCCACGTCACCTGATGTGTTAAACCAAATGCAGTAACTAACTAGTAAGAAAGTAACCCACTTTCCTAAGTAAAGTTGCATAGCAGATTCGTTAATCCCAATAGAAACAACATACCAAAGTATTTTAAGTAAACAAAACAAGATATTTTGTATTAATTATACACAGCCTAGAACTAGCCCAGACAAGAAGCAAGCTTTGGCATTGAAAAATGAAGCCTTTAAATCGAGTTAATATTTATTTAACCAAAAGAAGAATCTTATAGAGTGTTGTGATAAGATATACAAAAAGGCTTCAGGATCTCAGGATCATTGTCGACTAATTTGTTACTACTTAGTGATATTAAACAACTCAATAAAAAAAAACTCACACAAATCCAAGAGAAAAATAGTTCTCACACTTAGGAAAAAATGTCCTAAAAATAGATAGAAATTTGAGAAGTTACCTTGGAGCAACCACTGCCTAAGTCTTGTATGATGCATCCCGAGGGAAGCCTCCTGAAGCAACCATCAGACTTCAAGTCCTGACTTTCTCTCTTGACATCATAAGAAACATCGACCACCGCCCATAAACCATCTCCATGTTGCTTGCAGTATCTAAGAAACTTCACTTGTCTGATTGGAACTAATGGAGACATCACTTGAAACTCTGCTTGCATCTGTCTCAACCAAATAGAAATCATGAGTCATCATCACCAATGAATAAAAAAAAATATAAACATTTATGGTTCTCGAGGAACATACCAGCTGAAGAGAGCCGTTCCTAGATCTACCACTACCGTTAGATATCGCTTGAACGGTTGATGCAGCAGCTACAATACACTCAAACATCTCTGCCCATCGATTCTGTAAGAACCCAAAAGCAAGAGATGTTTATTAGTAAAACGTTTGTGTGTATTGACATGCATACAAGTTTCTCATACCGTGTCCATTAGAATCTCCACCAGAGTCAAGCTATTGAGGAGAACCAAACCAGTTTCTCTTGAACCTTGAGCTGCAAAACCTGGATGTTTACTACCCGCAAAAAGGCTTGTATACTCTTCATGGTTCATTGAATCATTCTCACTCTTTGAACATTTTATCCATAGAGGGTTATCCACTTCAGCTAGCCTTATCAACTCATCCATAGCAACCACAGCAAGATCCATAAACGTCGAAGTACCATGTCCTAAAGACAAATCCCCAGCATTTGAAGGCTGCTCGAGTGAGATAGAACTGCCAATGAATCTGTTTGCTAACGCACAAAGCTTATCAAGCTCGTACTTAAGCTTAGCGTTCTCCATCCTTAGTTGCTGCTGCTCATGTGAGACCTCACCAGGTGTAGCTGCTCCACCACAGTTGTTGCATCTAGGATTTCTCATTGCTTCTTTAAGGATACCGTTTTCTACACGCAGTTTTTCATTATCTTGCCTGAGAATTGCATTCTCATGCCTCTCTAGTTGCGTCTGATTAAAGACAAAAAAAAAAAATCAAAAACTTTTCTGTAAAAAAATAAAAAGCTCTTTTTTTTTTTTTGTTCCGTAATAATCCTAACCTTCTTTTGTGTTCTTCTGTTCTGAAACCAAAACTTGATTTGCTTACTCTCCAAAGAAAGTTTGCTTCCAAGTTCAAGCCTTTGCTTCTCATTAGGATGAGGACACACTTTGAAGAAACTAAACTCAACATTAGCAAAAAAAAACACATAGTTTAGTTTATATCAACGTATAACCGATAAATATCTGAAGAAACAGAGACTTCTTACGATTCGAGTTCTTGAATCTGGTAAGAAGTGTGTCTACGGTACTTTGACATATTCTTCTTCTTCTTCTTTTTAGGGCGTTCGTCGTGATTATTATTATCATCATCGCCAGACATTGCTTCAAAGCTATCACTCTCAAACTCATGATCTCCTTTCGAGATATCGAGATCACCATTCATTTTCACTCTCTGCAGCAAATAAAAAAAAATGAACCAAGACAATAATCTAAGTTATAGAGTGAAAAAGAAGTTAACCAATGGCAAGTAATAAGAAGATTTTGTATTATCACTGTTTGTACTATTCAAACCAACGAAACTCATCATCACATTCACACACTACACGAAAGCTCTTGTCCGATTCATCAAGTTTCGTACCTTTCAACCAATACCCAGAAGATTTTCTGTTGACTAGACAAGAAAAGTTGTCTTCTACCGAGATCAGCAAAATGAAAGAGAAAGGTGTCTCCTTTGTTATATGACTTGACTTGTCCCTTTTTTGTCTCTCTCTAGAAGGTTTTACCACTCAGAAGGTCCCAAGAAATCAGGTTATAACTTTGACCTTTTAATCTACTTTCTTCGTAGAATATCTTCAGATTTGACCAATTTTTGTTTCTTATTTTGTCATTTCCTATATCGTCGTAGAATATCTTCGTATACCTTTGTTTTTTTTTTAAACATTATATATATTAAGCAAATATTACAATGCATATAAGTTCTTAAGCTTGCTAGGCAAGAGGATCATAAACAATCATTCAAGGATATAGATAACTTGTGACTATCCAAAGAGATTGTTTAGCCAAACAGGATGACCGTCGCAATGTATGATTGAAAAAGATCCATCTTGATTACACTTTCAGCGATTAGCTTCACCCCTTTGATGCATCGATGGTGAGAGTGACTAACCTTCCAGTCAAGCAATTCATTAAGCAAGGGAATCAACAATGTCGAGTAGAATCTGAGGGAAGGCCATGAGGAGGGTCTTGAGATGGATTGAACTAGATCATGGTCATCAGAGGCAAAAATAACAGAGTTGAAATGAAGAGTTTTGATACACTCAATTGCCCATGTCAAACTTGCTAGGGAAGCATCTTGCTTACTAAAAATATTAGCAAAGGTTTGTCTACTATGAAGAAGAACTTTGCCATTACTCTCTCTGAGTAACCAAGCTACTCCACTTTGGTTACGAGCTTTGTCCCAAGCAAATCCTATCTCACATTTAAGCCAGTCTTTAGGAGTACGTTTTCAACCAAATAAGTTTTTTTTCTTGCTTTCCAGGTCAATCTGTTTTGCTTCTGATTCTTGATCTTTAATGAAAAACCAATGGTCCACTTCCTCAAATATAGAATTGATGAATTTGTTCCCAAGAGAAAGTTTCCCTTCAAACAAAAAAGAATTTCTGTTTTTCCATATTGACCAGATGATTCAAGCCCCTGATCTTCTTATGTTTTCTGGTACAAAGCTGTTTTTCCTAGTCTTTAAAATATGGTAGATGTTAGAGTAGACAGAGAAGGGGTCAAAACCATTTGATAGAAATGGAAAGTTGCTTTCTTCCCATGTTCTTCTTGCAATGTGGCAATCAAAAAGGACATGGTTAATGGATTCGCCTTATAAGCCACAAACTTGACATCGTGGTATGCAGTGGTTGAGAGAGTCTGCTACCGATAAAGCCCCACTGGCTGCTTTCCAAAGAAATACCAATGTCAAGATCCCAAATGCAATTCTTAATTGAGTTTAGAGAAGGCAAATATTGAGCTAAGAGTCATGCTTCAGAGATAAAAGTCTTTTGAGCTAATTAATAGCATGTCTTAACCGAGTACTCACCTGATTTGGTGTGGTTCCAAGTGTAGAAATCATCAATAGCTGTAATAGGCTTGATCTTTAGAATCAGAGCTATATATTGAGGGTAAAAAAGATCTTTGTGCATGGAGGTATTCCATAAATTGAAATTGTTCAGGAAGAGGTTACTTACCCGCAGATTGAGGTCTACCAAAATGTTTTTCATCAAAGGAATTCTGAGCTTGTCTCCATCCACTAACCATGGAGAAGTCCAAACTGCAAGAGAGTTACCGTTTCCGACTGAATGCCTAAGACCCTTAGCAAGAAGCTCTCTACCGAAGAGAATACTACGCCAAGCAGATGACGAACGTGAACCTAGT